TTTGCAATAGCTGCTCTAATAGAAAGTTCTGCCTTTGAGATGAGAAAGAGGACGCTTTCTTTATACGACATCATCAAGAGTCACGGCAAATTCTCTGAAAAAAAATGATGGCGGTTCACTCACCCAGCTTATCGGCTAGTTGATCTGTCCATTCGTAATCAGTCAGGTCAGGAACTATTTCCTCCAATCGATCTGCGTACTTCGCCAGACGACCACCTTCTAGCGTGCGGATTGTCATCATTGTATTGCTCAATTCCTGGGAGAGGATCATTTTCTACAGTAAATTACTGGCCCGAGGAGAGTTTTTTTCAGTTTTTCTTTGAAAACCTATAATTTTTGACGTAGATAATGTACCACAAACCTCTTTGGGCATAAATACGGCACACATTGTTTGGAAAGGGGCTTGAAGGAATTGTTTCCGCTCTTCCGGTGGAACATCGATGGAACTGGCCTCAAGGACAGCTTTGAAGCGAAGAAGCTGAAAAACGCTATCGCAAATTGGATTGTTTTCCCGTTATTGCACACTAAATCGTTGTTTATTCTGTCCACGCACGCACTGTACTCAAAGCACAACTTCATCACTGTTATCTTCGTTTTTCACCTGTGCACTCTTTATCAGCGCTCCCTACCGTCTTGGAACTCCTTCTCTTTGCTTGTTGTTCCTCTGCGATTCACAGAGCATTTGGGGACACTGTCTGGGATATTGTCGTTTAGGGACAATGTCGTGTAGACTCACGGGACGGCGGCAGCCAAGGGACACTTGCTAGGTCCCCACTTAGGTAACCTTCTTAGGTTTGTGTACCTAGGCTCCGTACAACTAATCACTCTTGAAAATTGAGCTAGTTGAGCCTTCAAGAATGATACAGGTTTCATTTAGCGGATCTTTTCAGAAGTATAGAGCCCCCTTTGTAGTTAAAAGGTGTTTGATTGATTATATCACAAGCGACAAAGCTCCAGAAAAAACTGCATTTACGGAGAACTGACAACTGAGGTCCTTCGGGTCGCGCCCCTCATGCATGAAATGCATGCCGTTTTTTTCGTGTAATGTAGGGGCGCACGTAGGAACGCAGAACTCCAGTTTATTGTTCCTGAACTGCCCTCTGCATGCCAAAGGGGGTTAGTAAGCTCAAGAGCCACATCATTTTCGCACGCAATTTTTGGCAAAAAGCAGGGTTAGTTATGGTCTTGATAGAAACATGGGATCCATTACCATCCGCAGGTACGATTTTGAGATATCATGTGAGCGTCAATTCAAAATGCAAAACTTTGTCGTCACGAGGAATCGAACTACGACCCAATCTCACGTTCGCAAGGACAAACACAGAACTATGGTTTATTTTTTTAGAATTCAGAGGGCCGTTCAGGAGAAATGAAGCACGATTCCATGTTCTATGTACGTGTCTCAATATAGTATGCAAAAACCATTTCGAAAAGTGGGGCAGAACTTGAAAGATCTTCCCCTGTGAGACAAGACAAGGGGAGCTGCGAAGGGCAAGCAGGCTAACATTTGATAGCCAGCAGAGCTGGGAGCTCGATCGCTGACTCCTCACACAACCTAGGCTCCCGACGACCTGTCGGCTGCTGGGCGACGCAAACGATTGGCAATCGGGACATAATGACACCGCGGCGATTTGGGCGACTAAGTATAAATGACAAGACTCGAAAACGATCGGAGGATCATGACAAGCTTCTTTATAAATGACGTCATGTCAGAAAGTAAGACCATGGGCTAAATGTTCAGAGCTTTTGTGGCCGCGCGCCACCAAACCACCAAGTCCTCTAACTGTAACTTCTGGACTTTATGTTCGTGCAGCTCAAAACTTTGGCTGTACTCACCTGTCTGACTTCTCTGAGCGAAAAACTAGCAAGAATGTCTACTTCCACATTTTCAAGGTATTCCATGATGATATATCCCTTTCAATGGATTCGACTCGGTGAACTTTTTCATGCAGTAGATCTGAACACTGAATTGGTGCTGTATAAACAGTAGCCACTTGGCATCTGAGATTGTTTTACTGAAGGAACTGTTCAGAATGGAATGCGGAGTAATCTCTTACTTTGGGAATATTAACTTTCCCTTCAGGAAGCTTTGCCAGGTGATTGTATGATGCCACTTCTGCATTATGAGCCTGAAAAAATCCATTACAACTATGATGCGTGAAACCGATACAAACAAATGAATATGTCAGTTCTTCTAACCTTCTTTTCACAGGTCAACGGTCGCGTTCACACTTTCGCAAGAATTTCGCAATCCCCAACCCTTTAGGAAAAGGTCTTGATGCGACCCGCCGATACCACCATGAGACTTAGGAGGCTCCCCCAATACGACACTCCTCCTCCCTACCCAGATCACCACCCTCATCACCATGAATGTTTGTACAGTAGTTGATTCTGAGGCCAGTCGACACACCCAACTGCGCCCACTTTCTCCTCCAAAACGGTCGTCGAGCGGGGAGGTGAGGTAAATTGGGTATCCTGATGAGGCAAACCCACCAGTTTTGCCTAATTCATGCTCCTTTCGTGACTTCCACCATATTTCTCAAAAACCCGTCTAAGTATCAACCCCTTTTACCCACCTCCTCTCGCCATTCCCCAAGGTTCATTCACCTCGCTCAACCCCAAAATGCGACCCCCCTTCCCGAAGTCGCGAACGACCCCCTCATTCAAATGGAGCGAATAGACGGTTGACACTGCTTCCAGTTGCTCTGGAGTGAACCACCATGTTATTCCCATAGTTTCATATTTTCTAAGCGCAAGCACTGTCTCTCACAGTGCTTAGCACCCTGTGGAAATGTTTCAGTAATTTCTCGTTTGACTTACAAAACAAG